TACTATCGCCATGATCGTCATTCGTCTGCTTAAAACATGCTTTACGATCCATCTATTCTTGCATAAGCAAAACAAAATACACCTTTAAAAAAGCTCGTAAAAGGAGATTTTCACACGCAATAAAAACATAAGTATGTCAATTCGCAGTGAAACGATGATAAGAAAAAAGTTATTTTGATGATACTGGATGTCAATAAAATTATTAACACGTATACGTTGAGACCAATGAAAATTAACACGTAGAACACGTAGGGCACAGAAGACATATGAAGATGCAATGGAAACATGCAAACATGTGATACTTTATATTATGTAGCAAAAAAGAAAAAGAACGATTAAAATTTATGTACTGATGACATTAGATGTCAATAAAATTATTAACACGTCCATACGTGAAACATGTTCACAAAAACAACCAATTCAATAGGATTCTCTTCAAATGTTTCAAAATCAAATGCAAGAATCTGTAAAATGCACCACTGATTTTCGGTTTCATACCACTCCTACTAATGCTTTCAAGAACGGCCAATTCAATTCGTATGTGATTTTTGAGACATTTAAAAGTACAGCTACCATCCAAAAAAAAAAAAAAAAAGAAAAAAAGCAAATCAATTAAACCCTCCTTGCTCTTTACTTATACTGACTTAATCGTTTAGTAGAGAAAACTAAATTTTTCTTACTATACATTCTTCGTAATCATTTAATTAATTAATTAATTAATTCAACGATTAAATTAACAAAACAAGCGCTCTACTTACTTTATTCACTTCTTTAAACGATCGTAATTTTTAGATGTATGTAAAACAAGAAGAAAGAAGAAATAACGGATGATAAACTAAACTACATAACATTACTTTTATTGTCAAGACAATTTATGCAGTAATATTTACAACGAAGAAACTAAAATGTTATTTGGTAAAGGAATTAGAAAGAACGATTGTAAGTTATACAAAGGAAATGAAAAAGAAAAAAAGATGAAAATCAGCAATTAAAAGATAAGTGAAAGAGAACATTCAGTAAATTTAATAAATATCTCTCATCTTTCAAAAATTATGCCTAAAATTTTTGTAAAAGATATATTAGATGATGATGGTAAATGAGAAATTGGAAAGGAAATTTTTAGGAAAATAGGAAACTCGATGAAAGAGTTAGGACAGAAATATTGGAGAAGCAGGAAGAGAAGGTAAGAGAAGAGAGAATAAGCACTCTTCTCACGCTAGCCATACTACTACTACTACTACTGCTGCTGCTGCTGCTGCTATTAGTGTTTACTAACATTTCACGCAACATCAATGTCTCCATGACTGATCTCTTCTCTTCCCTGCTCCCTCTCCCTCATTCCCATAATCACTACCCAAATCTGAGACATATGTATCAATAAGCTAATCTGCATAGCTTAATCAAATCATAACTTTTCATCTTTATCACTCCCTCTTTCCCTTTCTTCTACTTACCTTTTTTACCAAAACATATTTCTCGAGAAAAAGTGAAATATGAAAGAAAAAAAAAATGAGAAAGTTATGATTATTTAATCAATGACAAACAAAACAATTTCTTTCTCTAAGTTCTTTTGATCTTTCCCTTTTTCTATCGATAGTTATAAAATAAATATTACATTTTCACTAACTTAGTAAATGTATAAAATAGATATACTTAGTAGATGTATAAATCATCACAGAATTATTTTATCAAAGACAATTAATGAACTGAATATTATCAAAGACAGTTAACGAACTAAGTTGAACTGATGCAATTATTGTACGATAGAATTCTTCTAAATGAAAAATTTTGAAGAATTTACGAATAATAAAATACCTTTTTTCCTTATCCTAATTTCTTCAAATACAAAAATGAGTGACAATAAAACAAACCATACTACCACTCTGGTCAACGTCACTCATCCCTTTTCGTCGCGAAGACAACTACAACTCACTCACAGCCCAGCCCTTATGGAGTCAACTGTTAGTATTGATCGTAGTTACCGTGCATGAAGCATAACAATTCCATCTTTACGGCCGTTCAAGCAACAACAAAGACAACGATGCTAATAATAGTGTTCGATACCATCATAATAGGTTTATTCTTTGTGTAAATATTATTTGTCCTTTTTAAAGGACTAAAATCAATTAATATGAAAGAGAAGTGTAAAGATAATTTTTTTTTGGAAACAAATATTCCGATACATTAGATTGTTATTTCAATCGCTGAAAATTATTTTCCTTAAAGAAACAAGAAGGATGCCTTTTTTTTTTTTCTTTCAGTTATGCCTTTTTTAAATTATCTGTTCAATTTCTGATTTAAACTGTGAAAGAATGAGGAAGAAAAAATGGAAAGAAAGTAGATAGAACAAATGGACCCTGAACATTGGACATTGTTCAGATCGGTTAGCAGTGTTACCCAAATGATTAGTAGTATGGTGAAATCTTTGTACCAACCCATTTGAATTCTTTACAAATTTGTTTTATTCCCATTGGATTGTTGAGTGATAAAGAACATTAGTCAGTATTACTTCATTTGCTAAATAAGAAAAAATCTATAAGAATTGATAAGATTAATAATGAAACGGAATAATGCAAATGAGTTTTTAATTTTAGAAAATTCAATTTCAATGTTTAGTATAAAATTTAATTTTAGTACAAGTTCTAGTTTCATAGAAAAAAGGTTTAACAAATTTTGAATATAACTTTGGGAATTCATATACATATAGAATGCTATTTAATATTAATAACAGCCTAAAATAATAAAGTGATCATAATTAATTAAATTGTCTTCGACGTTATATGTCAACTTTGATAGCAACGTTATGTGCTAACGTCAACTGAAGCCTGAAATAACGATAAGATGAATCACGTAGAAGTTGAAATATTAATATGTATAATAAAAAGAATACGAACAAAGGTTATAGCCTCTTTGGAGTATTTTATAATCTAAATTTCAATGAGATCCAGAATCCGAATTTGCTAGTAAAGATTTGTTCAAGTAATAAATGTAATGTGTATCTTATCTATATCTTTCCAACTGTGCTATATTTGCTTTCCAAATCAGCTGGCAGATTCATGTAGTCTTGTGGGGAAGAGTGAGAATAATTGAAAACATTTATGAAAGTAAAAATATATCCTACACTTTAGTTCTTCTTACCTTTTTAAATTAGAAAATGTCCAAATTAATTTTGAAAAGAAAAAAGGGAATCCTTTAGAAGACCCAGCCTAGCCATATTATGCCGAAATGTAACGATTAAGCATAATCAAAATCAAAATATAAAACTGTTTTCGGAAATTCCGAGAGATTTTTTTATTACTGGATCTTTATATGAATACTTAACTATCTAGCTACTACTTATCTGGGAACTACAATTTAAAGGACATTTTAATACTGCAGTGAAGTGAATTGTAATATGCATCAAGTTCGATCATTTTTAATATTTAAATTTTGCAATTATGAGAACGATATTCCCATTCGATGAATCAAAAATTTAGTACTACAGTCATTATTTATAGTTTAAAATCTTACAAAATAATAAAATTCGTTTAGAAATTAGTTGTAAAGATGAAAAAGAAAAAGCAATAAGAATGAAAATGGAAAGAAGAAAAGAAATGAAGACACAAAAACGAATGAATTTCTTTTTCCCAAAAAGTACATAAATTTTGGACCCTTAAAACTTCCGAGACTATTCAAAGTCAAATAGTCATAGCTACAAAAAGCGTTTAAATTCTTGACTCTCGCGTTCCCAATGGTAATTCACATTTTCCCTCCTAAATAATTGAAACATTGAAATACAGTCCCAATGCCCTTCTGAAGGATCTATAAAGTAATAATTCTCGGTAATTTATCCTCTCTATAGTGAAGAGAAGAGTTCATTAGTCAGATGACTAACTCTCTTCTGTTCATCAATAATATTATCGGTAATGACCGATCCAGAAGAATTCTATTTCCTTTTGCTCAAGTCATTTAATTCTCTTAACCCAAATATATTAAATACATAGAATACAATTTACTACTAACATTTGCATTCACGAAAAACACTTACACTGATACAAAGTTATGCACAATTAGTTGCATTCTGTGAACGCTTCACTTAAATTTTCTAAAAGTTAGCAAGAAAGCATCACTTCAAGATTTACATATATGCTTTATTTTAATATTTTAACTTATTTTACCACACTATTTGCGCCAGTTCTTTACTTCGTAACAGAATCCAGAGAATGAGAAAGGCAGGTAATACTAATTAACTAATTAACTACATGATGCATATCTTCAAAACTTTTAATACGGAAGAACAGAAAAATTCAATACTTAACACTCCCCTTGTCAATTCTGCTTTCTCACCGTAATAAAAAAGAAATTCAGAAACGAAAACCTTCACTTTATCATTCTCTACTTTCCGACTCGGAAAACTTACAACCTCTTCCTTCCAGTTCATCACTCCTATTCACTCTTTATCATGCTGGACTTAGGTAATACTGGACAAGGTGAAAACAAAACAATCCGTAATTTCATTCCTACCTCACAATGATTTCATCCTACCCTACAATAACTAATTACCTTAGCTGTACAACCCGTCTTCTTTCTTTTCCGTTTGTTCTCCGACTTTCTAATGACTAAACGTATACTCTCTAGTAGTTCTATTTCTCTCTCGTTTCTCATTTCTCCTAATATCTTCCAATATTTCAGTCAACAATGATACTTTTTATGTTATAGCTCACTTTCATTTGCTTTCTGGTAGAGGAGGTGAATCGAACTACGACCATAATAATTTTAATTTTTTATCAGATGGAAAAATTCCGGATTGACTGAAGAAAAAGGATAAGGAACAGTTCCGGATTAACTGAAGGGAAAGGGTAGGATTCTGAATTGATAATAATCGGTGTTGGTAGTTGTCAGTGCTATTATTGATTGGTTCAACTATAGTATTTCAAGTTTGTGCGAATAGTTGTATTATAAATTATGCTTTTAGCTAATAACCAACTAAGAATTGAATATACTAAGCGAACAAAGTGAATATGGCGAGTCATCCGGTTGGCGTAAGTCCATTTCCTCAACCACCGGAATATGCTCGTCAGTATACAGACGCTAATGTGGCGAAGAAGAATGTATTGCCACCACCTCCTGTACCATCCGAATTTACGGTTTTTGGCGAAGAATATAATTTCGAAGAAGTTTCCGATTTTTTCTTTTTTCCTAGGAACTTGAAATATGACTTTTATTTTTCAAAAGAAATAATACTGAAATGATATGATTAGTTCATCCAGTGCTACTTTCTGCTTTCCATTAAACAAGTCCTTATACTCTTTGTTCCGTTTAGTTACTTTAAGTATTCTATGAGAATTGAAAATGCTTCCCTTTAAACCAATTATTATTGTTCAAATGATTCAGAATGTGAAATTACCTGTGCAATTTTTGCAATCTTTTGGTTTTTTTTCAAAGTTTCGATATCCTGTTATAATAGAATTTTTTTAAACGAACTGATATTGGAAATCATTTTTTTTGAATTGGAAGTCTTTTATTTTGGCATCTGGCAAAATTAACTTTTTTATATGTTACTGAAATTAATGTTGCAGGAAATGATCCGGTCGTTACAGTCGCAGAAAATGCAACAATTGTTTTCGAGTAATGGTGACTGGAGAAGTGAGTTAAAGAAGTTGAACAGAAGTACAGTTGCTGCCTTCCTTGATCTTCTTGATATCCTAATACGGTAAGCTGTTGGACAACGATCCGGATGCCTGACTACTACACTATGACTTAATTTCTGTGATTCTGATTGCTCCAAGTGGCACTAATCTTACTCCTAAATTTTTCATTCTGAATCAGATTAGTGATAGAGTAACCAAGAAAAGCTGAAAAAATCAGCCGCTTTTTAGAACTTTGAGTTATGATTCCATGTCCATGAGACATTAGCGATGCAATATTTTTTTGAACAGGAACAAGCATCCTATGCAAACGATTATTGTAATCAGTTAATGAAGAGGACAAGAAAAAAAGGGCTAATCTGATTAAACAAAGAAGGATAAGAATTAATAAAGCACAATTTGATGTGATAAATTAAGTTTGTCACTTCAGCTACATCGTTTTTCCGCTTTGTATTTTTTTCTCTCGAAGTGCCAAGATAGAGCAAATCACAGTGTTTATGTATTATTATTGCTAGGTTGATTTTGTAGATTGTCTTCGGAACACTATCTTAGAAACGATAGTTATCACGGAAAAGAAATCAATATAGGGTTTGTGTCTGTCTAATCTGACTTATGGTAATATTATTTTAAGGTGTCCAAATCATCCAGAACGTCTGGAGAAAATCAATAACTTACGTCTTCTTTTTATCAATATGCATCATCTGATTAATGAATATCGGCCGGTGCAGGCACGAGATGCGTTGCAGTCGATGATGAGATTATTGATTAAAACTATTGAGGTATATTTCCTTTATATTGGAAGTTATTCCGAAAACAGGTTCCATAATTAACATGTTGTGTTTCATAATTTTTAGGATGTTACAAGCCGCTTTCGCACTTACTTAGCGATGGGTCATGAGGCATTAAATCAGGTAATCGATGAAGTTCCTCCAGTACTTTCAGCCTCTCCGATGCTTAATGTTGAGGTATTGTTTTTTTATTTTTAATTTTGATAGTTTGCTGATGATGATTCTGTTATTAGTTATCTGATTGCAGTGAACAATTCATTTTTCAAATCCTCATGTTCAAAGTTTTTATCTTTCTTGGATTTAAAAATTTTCCTTGATTTTGAAATTTCTAGGATGTGAATGTTGGTGTGTCGATAGAACAGCAAGTTGGTGCAGTGGAAACTGAAATTAGTAAACGGAGAAGTAGTTATGATGAAGCCAGGAAGACAACAGTATCCAGACGAGAAGCTTGGAGAAGAGATGTTATGCTTTGTGAATTGTTAGACAATATGGGTGATGCAGATCTAGAAAGAAGACTGTCGCCTTCCACAAGTAGAGTTCAAATGGAATACTGATGTATTCAAACCTTCATATATTTATTTTAAATTAAAGAACTGGTTTTAAAGGCTCTGTGGTTTACTATCCATTTATTATGCATATTATTGGAGCGATAAAACAGTAGGTATTAACGACGGTATTAGCTAAATAACTTATTTGCCGTGCATTGTTTTATATTTGCTGTGCATTTATGCCATTTGTTTCGTGCGAAACTTAGAATTGTACAAATTATTTTGTATCATATATGATAAAAGGAAGTGTAACGGTTTCATGAATCTAATTTTCAGTGTTTTATGTTTATGGAGGATTGGTGATAAAACCATTCGAAATAATACAATGCTTACACTACTTGATTAGCGCTGAATTGAAGTAATGTATGGAAATGTTTGTTGCTGATGTTGAAGCAGAGTTTTCTTGTAACGATTTTTCAGATAAGCATTGCATGTTTTTGTCGCAGAGTCTGAGTTGTATTCGTGTATGTGAGAGATGTAAGAATGAACTGATTGATGTACGTAATAAGGAAATTATATACTGATATGTACATTGGTGAATGATTCCAGAAATATTCGTTCTAAATACTACAGATCGTAAGTTGAGTAAAGGAAAGAATGTTTAAAAAGTAGAGATAATACTGTGTTTAAGAAATTATTGAAGCAATGCAAATACATGAATTTAATTACTGCAATTAGATTGTTTTAGCGCTTGCAGAATTTATTATAAAACTTTTGAAAATTTAATACTAGCTAGAGATATGCATGATTGACATTCTGTTAACATTATGTGTGACTCTATCGTCTTCGTAGCTGTCAATTCGAGAATTTTCTTCTTTATTTTTAAGATGCCTGAATCGGGTAAACAGTGTGAATCTATCCACATTCAAACTCGAAATTCTCGTCATCCATTGCTATGCACTGAATGTCATAAACGATTTCAAACGGTGCAGGAATTATATTTACATTCGGAAATATGCATTATCGAATCATTTGAAAATGAAGCTGTCAATGTGTTTTCGAATATGCCATCACTTACAAAATCAACTGCTGTTTTCGATGCTACTACACATGCTGGAATTACGGCTAAGGTATATTTGTTCTGCAAGACTTTAGACGGAGAGGTGAAGGCTTTTAGGAATAAAGGAAGAAGTTAATAGAACTGTGGTAACTTTATCTTGGCTTAACAGTAGTGGCTTTCTGTCCACAAATAATTTTTATAGAGGTGAATATTTGAGATAAAAAACTTTGTTTGCAGGTTAAATGATTATGGCAGATATAAGTTTTTCAAGTTAAATTTCAAAGTATTTTTTGAGGAATCCATTAACTATTTTTTTTTTCAAATTCTTTTCTTTTGTTTACAGGGAGATGATCCACCAATATTGATACCCGAGACGAATGCTTCAACGAGCTCCTCAAGGTTGACAACTCTTTCATTTTCAGCAAAATGTAAAGTAGAATGTTCGCGATTTAAAAAGACACAGGTAACAGTACCGACAGGAACGACAAAAACAGCACCTCTTTCATTGGTTTCTACGTCACACTTGGAGCAGCGATATTGGTCATCTTCCGAAAGGTTTACATACATAACTGTTGCAGAGTGAAGTTTTTTAGAAATAGTTTTAAGTATTTCACAAGTCAATTTCAGCATTTCATGGAATAGTTGGACAAACAAAATCATTTATTTCAGGCTCCAGAAAATACCTTTTGAGTTAGAAAATGCGCGAATATTAGAAAGTCCTAGTGGACTGAAAATTTATATATCGATTGAAAGAAAGTGTGGGCGAGAAGGCAATGGAGTTATTAGTGGAAACGATGGCTACTATTATGGGTCGCAAGGTTTCACTTTCTTAAAATTCCATAAAATATAAAAATGCTTTCTGCGCAGTCTATCCATTTCTCAGTTTCTGTCAATTTCTTTCGAGAACCATTAGAGTGTTTTCAGTCGATTTGATTATATAACGTGGGGATTATTTCTGGTTTAGAGATAACAAATTCGTGGAACTAAATTCCGTAGAAATAAATAGATAAATAAATCGATTTAGGTGTTCTTGGTTCTAATGCAACCAATTCTAAAAGGAAAATAATTGGGGCACTAGCGAATGCTAACAATGATGATATTTATCGGACGAAAATGGAATGTCCTGCATGTGGTCTGATACTTTATAGGCATAATTTTGGTACCCATTATCGGATACATACTGGTGAATTGCCTTTTATTTGTACATACTGTCAAAAACGATTCCGAACAACATCTGCGTTGAAAGTTCACATCAGGCAAGAAAGTCTTGAAGAGTTGCTTAAATTTGAAAAAGAAATACTGATTTTTATTACTGTTGATCACTGTGACTTTTTTATAAAGCTGAATATTTGAGAAAATACTTCACTTGCTGTCAAGCTGTAAATTTATTTGTTCATGATTATTTTTTCAGAGCACACACAGGTGAAAAGCCTTATTCATGTCCAAAATGTTCATATTGCTGCATTACTAAACGTAATCTTGACCGTCATATTACTAACAATCATGTTAGAGAAGGAGAAAGGCGAGGTATGATTTTCCCGGAAAAGTTCCTTTTAACTTCTGACAGAAACTGAAGAATGTTATTTGAGAATTCTTTTGTTTCATTAGTAGAACACTGTACACTATCTAGCATGAATAATGTAGGAGCAAAAAATCAAACCAAGTGGATAGAATGGAATAAGGAATATTTTTGCTTTTATTAGGTTATTTATTCTAAATAACATTAATAGATTAACGAGAATTAACAAGATAATTTCTTTTGAAATATCCTTCATTAAGGACCACGAGAACGAAGATCACGATATAGGAAAGATGAGTTTAGCGTTACCATTGATGATATTGAAATGGGTACCGTTGAAGAAAGTGAAAAAATAGACCATCATTATGTTATCTCTCCGGTAGAAATAGAAAAAAATGTGGTAAGTTCCGATTTCAAGATATTTTGAACATATGAACACTTCACGCTGTTATAGAATGAATGAGAATTGTGAAATAAACTATTATTTTTACTTAAAGAATGAAAATAAATAGTAATAATGTTGACTTGAAAAAAAGTAATACCTTAGGGAATTAGAGAGATAGCGACACCTATGGTCACTGTTGTTATCCGTATTTTGAATTTATTATCCGTGTTGATTGAAAAAAGTAATACCCTGTTATAGGTGGAAGAGAAAACGAATGATGAAATGCAAGGCCGTGATGATAACAGACAATCAGTTGATATGCCCGTACTTCCTTTGCTTACTTTATAGATCTATAGGTCTTGAAATTGCTCAGTCAGAAGTTTATAGTTTATGCTCAGTTTGTATATGTCTGTATGTTTACTTATTTCAATAAAATGTAATTCCTTAGAATTTGACACTTTATTTTCCTTAAGAAGTTGAAGCCCAACAAAATATTATGATATTAATGCTTGATTTCCCAAACTTACTTCATATTATAGAATGCATCGGCTTCAGTACAGGAATTATCTTTTTTTTTGTTTAAAAACATATATCCTAACTTTTAATCAATAAATTGCAGTTTTTTATCCTTGCTTTCTAAGTAGCTTTTTGTTTTGAATGATTCAGAAGGAGCATTTTTGTTTGGCAATTCCTTTGCATGGATGGTTTGAGTAAATTAAACAATGAAACGAATCGTCTATTACAAGCATCACGAATTCGGCTGATAATGCGCGAAATGTCTTCATATATTGCGAAGGGAGCTATGGAATATCGAAGTGATCCTTCAAACTCAAAGCCTCTTTTGGATGTTTTAGAACCGTAAGTTGGATATTTTCTCCCATTTAGAATGCTTAAACGAATGAGGCATAAACAAAATGGCTTATCGATAGATTACTTATTTGATAAGAGACAAATAAACTGATTTGTTTGTATTCTGCAAATTCAAGAAATAAATAGTCGAAGTTCAAAACAACACAATCATATTGTACAGTTTTCATTAACAAGGTGATAGTGTTTTGATCTTTAATATATCGTTTCTTTTTTCTCTTGCAGGATTTCCCAATGCTTTGGAAGCATTGTATTAGAAGCGGTATCTCTAGCCGATAACGGCAATGTTTGCTTGCTCAAAGATCCTGTTCATGGTCGGAGTATATACGAAGTAAGTTATATGAATGACAAAAAAATGAAAAGTTGCCTGTCTTTGTGGCTCAGTGATAGAAGTTGAATTTATAAGTTTAAAGATGCTTAAATAAAAGTATTATTTGGATATTGTTGACGGAGACAAAAGAGGAAACAAGGAAATATTTCTACACTAAGAAAAAACATTAAATTATATTTTAATATATCGTGATTTTGACAAGCTGTACTTTTTTATCTAGGTATTTGGGACACATTCCCAATGTACTTATACTTGTCTCCCAATGGTAAATTATTGTCACTGTTCATTCTTTCTTCAGGAAGGTATGTTAATCTAACCAGTTGCTTATCAATTGTGTGTCTAATATAAGATCGATTATAGTATTTTTTTTTGAGGAGAAAAAATGGGTCAATAAGTTGGTAAATTTTCTTAGATAAACACAAATTAGGCATCCTATTGCATACATTTATCGTAATGAATAACAGATTTATTGCTATTGTCAAGCGGAATTTTTTACGATCATTATTAAACACGTAGAGAAAATGTAAAAGTTTTATAATAGAAATGATTTTTTGAAAATATTTTCGTAATGCTTTGATGAAGTACCGTTAAGTATGGACATATTAGACTTAGCTGCACTTAATAAAATGTAAATTTTACTTGAAATGGAGGAGGGTTCTAAAAAATTTAGTGTTGTATAAAAAGATTGTCCATAATGACGGATTTTTTTTTTGCAATGGCACCTCAAAGGTGCCATTGCAAATTAATAATTATTGTCTTGTAATGACTATTCTTTTCAGTTATCAAACGGCAGCGATCGTTTACGGTAAGTTGTGCTTTAAATTACTTTTAAAGTTACCATTTATTTAAAGATTTGTTTCAATTGAATAATTTCGATTAAAGTAAAAATTAAAGCTAGCAAAACAGAACTATTAAAATCATATTTTTCCAGATCAAACAAAGTTAATTATTTGTATTCCATCGTATTTAGTATTTTGTTATATACAAGTGATCGATCTTTGTATACACAATTTATTACGTCAACATGAAATTTAACAATTGTTTTTATTAAATAATTCTCTCATGTATTTCAGTTTTATCTTGTCATTTTACTGTTTATGTTTATCATAATTCTTTACCTTGTTTCTTTATTAATTTCTTATTCCTGTGTTTTTTCTTTTCTATCTTTAATGCGGGTACAATTATTTTTATTTTTGTTTTTAAAGAGATGAAAATTGCCATTGTTTGGAACATGCACGAAGAAATAACTGCTTTTATTGAATATATTATATATGCAATTTATGATTGATTATATGGAGCTATATGCGAGAGCAGTAGCTGATGTTGGGATAGATTTGAAAAACACGGAGCGATTTAAACTTTCAGTGATCAATTTTTCTTTGCAAAAGAGTGATGTTTATCCGTAACAACCGTGAAACAATATGTTTACATGAAGTAATATTGTATACAATAACTGAGTAGCAAGCTAACCGGTAGCTGTAGGATATGGTAATTTATGACAAAGGCAAGAGAATCTTTCAGGAATATTGACAGGTACATTAGAATTTGGCGCAACATTATGCGGATTTTTTTTTTAGATTTCAATAATATTTGTAAAGTGTTAGATTTCGTTGGGTAGCCTAGTATAATTTTAACAATAATATATGTTTTTTCATGAATTTCTTTCTTTTTTAATAAATTTCAGATTGAATATATCTATGCGTGCTTTATTTGTAGCCGAAAAAAATGATGCAGCCAAGAGCATTGCGGCGATATTATCACGTGGTACTTCAACACGACGTGATGGTCGTAGTCGTTTCAATAAAATTTATCAGTTTACTGCAAATGTAGGCCGTAAGTTTTTTTTTTTTTTCGATCAATTTATGTTTTACAATCAATTTATATTTTTCGTGTCTTTGTTACGCCATATCATTGGTGTATGACATTATTTTGATTATTATGTTGACATATGGTTGTATAATGATAAATTTCAATATTTATATTTAGGTCTCGTTTTTTTTCTTCTTCGTTCCTAGTTGCCATGGAGAAATGGAATTATATGGACATTTTAAAAAAAATACGAAAGAAAAACAAACAAAAAAAACAACAATTATAGGGAAACAAATGCCTTGGAATTTCTTTTTAACAAAATGGATGAAAGAAATTGAGAGAAAGTAAATATCAAATGAATATTATATATTAAAATATACAAATTACTTCAGAAAACCCAGGTTGTCATGTTGCGATGACAAGTGTTTCTGGCCATTTGCTTCAGCATGACTTCCCATCATCCTTCAAAAATTGGACTGAGACTCCAATAAAAGTGCTATTCGATGTGAATGTCCAGAAAAGTACTATCCCGGGAATGGAAGATGTCAGGGCTACATTAATAGAAGAGATACAAAAATCTGATGTAGGTTTTAAATGTATTATTTACTGTTAGCAGTGTTCTTTTTTGGTATTGCTCGTCAGTACATTCTGAATTGTCTGGCTGTAAATAATTTCGAATTAAAAAAGTTGAGTACTGTTTTAGGAAATGTAAAGATATTTAGCGGTTAACTACTCCTAAATATTTGATTTTGATTACTCCAGTTGCTTGTCATATGGACCGATTGTGATCGAGAAGGTGAAGCTATAGGAGCTGAAGTGGTTTCTGTATGCAGTCAGGTTAATCGTAACTTAGACGTCTATCGAGCTCGATTTTCTGAAATTACAAGTGCAGCTGTTAATCGTGCATTGAATAATTTGGTTAGAATAGATCAACGATTGGTGGATGCTGTTGAATGTCGGTTAGCTGTTTGTAATTTGTTTCATATATAAATTTCTTCATGATTACTAACAGATTTACTCAATTTTCTTTTTCGTCACTAGGATTTGTAAATATTTCTAATGAATTTCTCTTTATCAGAAAAAATTTCAGTTCAGAATTGGACTTACGAATTGGTGCAGCATTTACGCGCCTGCAAACACTTCATTTAAGGTCTCTTTTTTGTTTCAGTTGCATTTGGCTACTAGTGATTATATCTAAATATTCTAACTTTGATAAGTTCCAGGAATAATTTCACCAGCATATTTCGAGATAAAAACATTGTCAGTTATGGTTCATGTCAATTTCCAACATTGGGATTCATTGTGGAGCGTTACAAAGCCATCAAAGAATTCATTTCGGAAACATTCTGGAAAATTTCCATGAAACATATGCGAGACGACATTCTAGTTGAATTTTTTTGGGATCGTCAAAGGCTTTTTGATCATAACATTGTCCAGGTAAGTGAGAAATCTCACTGCATTTTGTAATTGATGTGAGCAGTGGAAACTGTGTTTTATTTTAATAGTCAGACTTGTCTTTATTTATTTTTTTTTTTTTTGGAGCATAAAGATTGAAACTAATTTATACAGCTCAACGATGTATGATGTTTAGGTACTTCTAGACGATTGTGAAGAAGCAGGAGAAGCTCGAGTTTTGTCAGTAATAACAAAGCCGAAGAGTAAATGGAGGCCTGTTGCTCTCGATACAGTTGAACTTGAGAAATTAGCTGTTAGGAAATTAAAATTCAGCGCCAAAGAGACAATGGTTGTGGCCGAGAGATTATATAATAAAGGTGTTTATTAGTTTATTTGCTTTTGAGGAATCAAATCATTTTTTCTTTACATTTTCGTTTCTTTACATTATCTTAATTTGCTGAAGCGTTACGTTTTTATCTGCGCTTCAAATTAGAAGTTTTCCTTTTAGGATATATATCATATCCACGTACAGAAACAAATAAGTTTCCGAAAGATATGAATTTGAACATTTACGTACAGCAACAAACAGTAAGCGGTGAATGGGGAGACTTTGCGCAAGAGGTTAGTTCTAGATTTTAGACGATTGAAAAATCGCAATAGATGTCCCAAAGAGATTTAAAGAAGATACAAAATAGATCTATATTTTTCAAAATCATTATTATATTGATAACGAATATTCTCGTTCACTGTAATCACCACACTATTAACACACCTACATTCTAGAAGGCTTTCCCATGCATACTTCATTTTCAGTACACAACAGAAAAATGCTTTAATTATAAGGATGCATTTATATGCTACACTTTTGAGATCGCAATACGTGGACCAAATCCGAGAAATGGTTCGAAAACTGATGAAGCACATCCTCCGATTCATCCATTAAAAT